CCTTGAAAGTTGTCAATGGTACGTAAGGTTACTTGTTTAGCTAGTGATTTGTTTGACGCCACGGCTATTGACACGGATGATGATTCATCCTCTTTACTTTCGTTGTCCTCAGTCACCATAGCTATTTGTTCACCATCTCTTTCATCAATGACGACTACGAATTGTTTACTTAACGCATCTCTTATTTGAATCATCTGGCCTAAATAAGGTGTTAATACAGCAACATCACCGCTTTTATCGTAGCCATTTCTGACAAAATATTTGACCATTTCAACAACCATCTTTACTTCAAATGAGCTTGAGTGTGATTGTACGGCAAACTGATTACTGCCAGCAGCATCTTCTGGATTTTTATGATCGAAGAAAAATAAATTATGTGTGGTCCCACGCACACGAGGATATGCTGCTGTACATGCATGATCTATAAGATTAGGATACAGAGTCTTTCTCACTAAATCAGCTATCTCACTGCGCATTCGCCGTTGTGTCAGTAGTTGGACCATTGGTTTGTTGTCATAGACCAGACGTTCGAACATCGATCGATCAAGTGCATACTTTTTACCGACATTAGATTCTAAACTGAGTTCATATGTTGTAACGTGTGGTCTTAGCTGCAAGTGGTCTCCGATGAGAATGAGGTGTTGCGTTTCTTTCAAAGGCGCAAGAATGTGAGCCTCTAAAACTTCGCCTGCTTCTTCGCATACAATAATACGTGGACCTACTGAACGTATTAATGATTGAAATTTTGCTGCCCCATTGGTTGTCATACCAATAACATGAGCTGATGACAGTATTATTTTACGAACTCCATCATGAATATCTGGAATAAAAAAAGAACGTTAGAGCTCTGACATATAAAATAAAGGAACTAAAGTTTGTACAGCTTTAATTGACGTCGTTTCAATGTTACATGTTAATGTTGACTTACCATCAATTTCCTTTCTTTTTTTACTGTGCTTTTTTTCTAAATCCGCCAACCGCTGTATAATGTCCTTATGAATAAGTTCCCTCCAATGATTATGTAATTTTATTCTCTCATTCATACTCATTTTCCATACATTCTGCTCTTGAAGCAAAATCTCCAAGTCTCTATCCGTTTTAGGGATTTCCAAATCCTGCTGTTTCCAAACTTGAATACCATCGTCGTTTATTCTTTCCGCAGGAATAAGATCTTCATGAATTTCCTGATTTGCATCTTCTTCATAAATTAATTTCGTTTCTTGATCTTGCATTTCTTCCGTATCCTGCAAGTAGTCATATTGATTGTGGGTTGGTAAAAGTTGCGGCTCCCTTTGTTTCTGTTTTCCTTTTTCCCTGTTCCGTAAGTCATTCATAATTTTCTTGAGATCGGAACCATAAATCCATTGAGAAAATCGATCCTCATGGCCACCATTGACAGTCTCCCATTCATCGTCGAACTCGTCCTCCTCATTATCCGTATCCGCATCCGCATGGTCCTCACACAGTTGCTCATAAATCGAAGGATAATTTGTTAAAAGAAATAATGCTGCTTCCTATCAAATAAATGGGGTTAGTTAACTCGGTGTAATGCATATCCAATACGTAAACAACAGTCATATATTATTAAGGAAATACTTGCATTCCAGTTTATTGTCTTTCGGGACAATTTGCCCGTCAACTCTTTTGCTTCGGCGGACAACCGGTCTAATTTCTTATATGCCTTATGTAACATGCGGCTTTATGAAGATGAAATAAATTATTGTTATGTGAAATGAATTCAATAATAATAATATGACGTATATTCCTATAGCTAACCGCTGTTCAGCCGTCTTGTTTTGATTGCGACATTGCTCTGCCAGAGCAAACGGTTGGATTTCTTCTGACTTTGATCGGCTTCCTAAACGAACAATCTTTTTTATGCCGGCATGCAAAAGATGCTCAAGGAACTGATCCAGAGCATGATTGGTCAAGCCTGTCACAGTATAAAGAAAACTCAATAAGGAGAAAAGCGTATATTAAATATTGGGGAGATAGTACGTACAAATAGTCAGCACTGGTCCAATAGCCGCCCTTTTCCGATTTTTGCTATCCAATAGCACTTTCATCAACTCTACCCCAACATATGTCTTCGTTAACAATGTTAATAAAAATCAAGTATTAAAATAAATAAAGATAATGAATAACAATCCTAAATACGAGATGCCGATCCAACCTTTCCGGTGCCAGGTGGACCTAGAAAAGCACCAAAAACATTACAGGTCAACAATAATTATGTGTCAACAGTTGATTCCATCAGTTAGATGTTCATTAATACTCTACCTTCAATTAATGCAATTTCTCTGCACAAGGAGTAAACCAATGCTTTAGCCTGACTTCTATCCAGTACATTTGCTTCAATTAATTTTTCTATGGCTCGGTCCCGCGAAAGCTTGTCCGTCGAATCTAGCATAAAATGTTCATTCTTGCCAAGCAAAATCGACAGATCGAATCTGAAACCTGGTGCACGTGCATATAATGGCGGCTCGATGTCAGCCGATAAATCTTCTTCTGTAACTGGTGCAAGATGTTGAGAAAACGGCAGTGCCCCTGGGCTGAGGTCTTGGAGAGCCTTCAATATGTGTACATACGATTCAAAATAGACACTCGTAGATTCTACCATAAATCTATCGGGAGTTTTAGATCTCGCGTCTGGCGTACGGTTTATATCTTCCAGAACGATTGAATAGATTGAAGTATCCATAAAATGGACCCCGATTGTCGCTTCATTTTCATTTGCTAGTGAGTTTTCTTGTCTATCAGTAATAACTAGTATGTGTGGGGTGACCAGACAAGAGATTAATACTAGCGGATTAACTCTTCTTTATATTTGCTTGACATACTCACCTCCAAAATAAAGTGTATAACCATTCGTTGAATTTCTGATACTCTTATCCTTAGGAGACCATAATACACAAATTAAACTTCCATTCAGCAACTTTTTCGACCTTTCCCAATAGACTTTTCTTTGCTTATTGGACTTTCCAGCTTTCGGTGGTTTGAATCCCACTTGAACCGAAAATCCCCTATTTTTGTCCACTTTAATATTTTTAAATCTGACATTTGAATAAACATTCAAGTCTCCGTTAATCTTCCCTTTGTCACATTTGAATCTTCCACTTTTATTTATTAGTTTCGTCATTTGCTGTTCGTTCTCGCTTAAACCTGCCACAAAGTTGTAAAGACCATCGCGTAATGGACGTAGCATGTCTTCACGTAGAAGACGAAATTGAATATCGAGAAACCTTTTCGGACCCGCACTGAGAAAATGAGGAGCATAGG